TTTTTTTTTAATCTGTCCTTGGCAAATTATGGATTTTAAGTTCTTATTACTGCCCTCTGCTGGGAACTGGAGAAAGTGCTTTTTTGGAATGCTTGCATGGAAAACATTTTAGTGAATAGAGGGAGAAATATACGGGCATCCACCGATTTGGGTGGCTATAGCCAAATTATGAGAACTTCAACACAAGCTGTCCTGGAGCAACGTCACCTCCTGTGGCTGGAATAAACAGCAGAGAACAAACTGAACTGGGATGCCAGGATCTTGTTTGATTGGTAATTCAGCTCAGGAGATAATAGATATAACCACATTTATTTGATTTCTGAGGGCTCAGCAATGTGGCTTCAAAAGGATACCTTTAGTTGTATTCATGCTGCTTACCATCAAAACTTCTGTGTAATCATAGGATGAAGCTCCTTCTATGTGGCTCTAACCAAATCACATCACCCTAAAGACACGTTTCAGACTGTCAGGACAAAGGCTAAAGGTAGGATATTATAAATGGAGTAAGTCCAGTCTCAACTCCCAACTAATGAATAAAACTGAGGTCAAAAGTAGGGTATAATTTTTTTTTACTAATCTGTGGAGCAGCAACATTAGGGATGTTGTGGATTCTCTGCTAATTAAAAGCTTGATCTTAAAATTAGGTAACTTCAGGCTAAGCTAGAGCAGAAGAGCTCAATGACTGAACCGCTTGGTAAAATTCCATGATCTGTTTTAAGTCATCAAAGTGACTGTAATGGTCTCCTTTGTGTCCTCAAAATAAATGACTTGTATTTCAAAACCATAACATGCTGTTTGAAATATTCTGTTTTGTGGAGAAATACAACTTGCTGCTCTTTCCTGTGGCATTAAAAAAAAGTGAAGTGAGCAAAAAGAAGGATTCTTTTGTGGTTATAAACGTGCCAAATTTTGAAAAGGGGAAAGCTGCTTATGTTAATTCTCCAACCCTTATTTTATTGATTCTTCTATGCAGCAGCTTTTGGGGAGAGCTTCTACGCGGAGACAAAAATGAAATTTGTGCTTTTTGAGGTTCGGGCTCTGACGTGACCCTCTCCCTCGCGTAGAATGCGACCCTGTGTGTGTGGTGATGGCAGCCCCCTGCCCTCTCTGAGGTGAGACGACGTGCTGCCCGGTGCCTGACAAGCCCTGGACAAAGCCTGTGCTGGTGAACTTCTGCGAGCGCGTAGTGGCGGGCGGTGGGATGACGGTATCGCGTGTAAATTAAAACAGAAATTAAAGGCTTGGTCTCCGTCCACCACCACCACCACCACCCCCGCCCCCGTCCGCGGTTGCCACGGCGACGGGCGGGGGTCAGGAGGCGCCGGCGCGGCCCCCAGGGGGCGCCATGTCGGCGGC